TGCAGCAGGTTCATCTGGGCCACAGACTGGCAGTTAATCTGTAGTGATACAGAGTTGAGGCTTGGCCGATGTGAGCTCTGGAAACTGTGCCATCTCAGTCGGTGCCTGTGGGAGAAGTGGAGAGAAAAGTGAGTGTAAAGGCTTTTTATTTGATTTTATTTGATTTTTTTCTTGCTCTGTTGCCCAGGCAGTGGTGCCATCAGAGCTCACTGCAGCCTTGAACTCCTGGGCTCAAGTGATCCTCCTGCCTCAGCCTCCTGAGTAGCCAGGACTGCAGGCCTGTGCCACCATGTCTGGCTCATTTTTTTATTTTTTGTAGAGACGGAATCTACCTATGGTGCCCAGCCTGGTCTCAAACTCTTGGCCTCAAGTGATCCTCCCACCTTGGCCTCCCAAAGTATTGGATTACAGTGAGCCACTGTGCCTGGCCCAGAGACTTTTTAATAGATAGAAGCAACATTAGCAATGGGCTGCTTGCTGGCATCTTATCTTAGGAACTGAGAGGACTTGATTTCTATTCCATGCTTTAATCCTCATTATGGGAAAATATACACAATATAAAGTGTACTGTTTTCACCATTTTTAAGTGTGCAGTTGAGTGGCACCAAGTTCATTCTCATTGTGTGACCATCTCTATCAACCATCTCCAGAACTTTTTTCATCTTCCCCAACCGGAACTCCATACCCATTCAATCACATCCATTTTTTGAATTTTGGTGCTTCCTGGTCTGACACCTTCCTTAGGAATGGACATGGCTAAGAATGCCAGACTTAATCCCATTTTCTCCCACAGAACAAGCACAGGCAATCTCTTTCTGACCCCCGTGCCTCACACCTGGAGAGAGGAGAAAAACTGTTACCTGTTGGACCTGGTTAGGGAAGCCCCAACCCCAGAATCCCTCCTTTCCGGGATGTCAGAGGGCTCTTCCGGTTCATTCAGGGAGTTGCCTGTGCTGTCCAGGTCGCTGGGTGTGGTTCGGTCGTTGTCCACATCCAGGTGTATCTGTTTTGGAGAGGATGGGCAGGGAGAGACCGAGTCCAGGGCTGAGTCCGAATCTCCCTCATCAGAAAACTTCTCCGACCACTGATTGACTATCCGCTGCATCCCCTTCACGTGGTAGAGGATGTCGTCCAGCTCGGGGAAGATGTCCTCATTCTCCAGATCTGCCAGGTCCCCTGAACTGGAGTAGAGGATGGAGCCCGGCACGTTGTCATAGATGCTCAGGCGGCTGCTCATGGAGCTGGAAGAATTGCGCCTCTTCAGTTCCTTGGGGTTGTCGCTGCTGTTTTCCCTCCTGAGGCTGATGTGGCCAGGGCCGTGGAAGCTTCCCGTCCTCCAGTTCACAGAGCCGTTATTCCCCGAGGGGGAGAAACTGCCATTGGTGAGAGCTTTGGGGAAAGTGCCAGGCTTGTGATCTTCAGGGATGTAGAACACCGTGTCCTCTGGGTAGCTCTCGCGGTTCTTAAAGTTCTGTTCCATCACGTTGTTAAATGTTGACTGATTGAAAGGATCGAAGCCCTCTAAGTACATGCCCACCCGCTTGTTGCAGGCACTGAGGCTCCGGGTCCTGGTAACAGGGCTGGGCGTGCTGACCGCGCTGCTGGTCTCCGACTGGCTGCTGCTGCTGCTGGTCTGCGTGGAGTTGGAAACGCTCCTCTTTCGTACCATGGGGACGTTGATGCGGTTGCCGTTGAGGGCGGAGATCTCCACGCAGTTGAGCTGCTTCAGCTTCTCCTCATCCACCCCCTCTTGCAGGATGGGCCCGCTGATGATCAACCCCAGCTTTGAAGGCGCTTTGTGCTTGCTGTGGTGGGAGCCTTTGAGCTTCAGGCTCTCCATCCGTTTCAGCAGACTGCGCGTCTTGGACTTGGCAGTTTTTTCGTGGCCTTTCATGCTGAAGCTGAAGCTGGACAGTTCCTTGGGAGACGGCAGGCTGCCGAAAGAGTCGTCATTGCCTGCCAAGTTGCTGGAGGAGCAAACGCTGATGACGGAGTTAGTCCGGGGGGTGGCAGCATCCTCGCTGGGGGGCGCGTGGCTGGCGAGGCTGCCAGTGCTGCTGAGGCTGCGGACCGAAGACACCTCCTGGCGCTCGCCGCGGTCCATCAGCGTGCCTCCGGGGCTGGCGCCGTCTTGCGGGTGGGAGTCGTCTGGGGACCCAGGGACTGGGTCTTGTTTTGGAGAAAAGACATCAAACTCTTCAAGCCGGGACCATCTCTTGCTGTCCCTTTGGAAAGTCCACTTGCCACTGATGGCACAAGGCTCATCCTCGTCTGAATCGTCACTCTGCAAAGACAGAAAGGAGCCATTCACACACCGGGGCTGGCAGCCAGCAGGGAGCAGGGCATGAGCAGGAGGCTGCTCATAATATGCCAGTAGTGTCAATTCTCCCCTTGTACTTTGTAATTTGAATTTTAAAGGCTTTTTTTTTTTTTTTAATTTTTTAAGAAATAGGGTCTCACTCTGTTGTCCAGGCTAGAGTACAGTGGCATGATCACAGCTTACTGCAGGCTCACATTCTAGGGCTCAAGTGATCCTCCCACTTCAGCCTCCCTAGTAGCTGGGATTACAGGCAAGTGCCAACATGTCCAGCTATTTTTTTTTTTGGTAGAGATGGGGTCTTGCTGTATTGCCCAGGTTGGTTCTGAACTGCTGACCTCAAATGATCCTCCCACCTGTGCCTCCCAGAGTGCTGCGGTGACAGGGATGAGCTACTGTGCCCAGCCCCATTTACACATTCTTTTTCTTTTTTAAATTTTTTTTGTAGAGAGCAGGAGTCTTACTATGTTGGCCTAGGCTGGTCTCAAACTCCTGGCCTCAAACTCCTGGCCTCAAGCGATCCTCCCACATGGGCCTCCCAAAGTGTTGGGATTACAGGCATTAGCCACAGTGCCCAGTGTTTTGTTTTGTTTTCTTTTTTAAATAACAAAGATGTATTTAAAGAATTTAACAGAGGAGTACCTGACCAAATGCTGCAAGTTTAAATAAGAACTATTTTATGGAAACTCTGGGATCTACAGGCTGTTCCTTAATTGCTCACAGAGGAAACCTCCGAGATGGTGAAAATTCCAGGCATGCAAAATATTCTGAACTGAAGTGAGCAGCGAGCAGGACTGCCTCTGGGCTGCCTTCCGTTGTGCGGTCTTTTGTTGGTGTATGTTTATATTCCCTCTTGCAATTAAAAAGGTAGTTTTCAAACACTAAGAAGAGTGGCAACTCAAATCTCTAGACACTGAAAATTTATAAAGTCTCCCACTGGAATAAAGGGGCCCTGGATCAAGGTGGGTCATCACGCAGCTTCAGTCCACTACCAGGGCTTTGGAGACTCTTACCAGTACCTTTTCTTCCCCTCCCCCACCAGACATGAGGGCTAGCGCTCAGGCCACAGCTGACCTGTGAAGTTCCAACCTCAGTCATGCTCCAGCCAATTGAACAAGGTTTCACAAATACCCAGCTCTGACAGCTTGCGGTATTCATAAACACTAAGGAACATCTTTGCTGGTTATGCCCGATTTATGTATAGGACTCAGGGATATGCTGTCACACGGACTATTGCATCTGGGCCTTTTCGGCAGGAATCAAAGGGCACAATTCAGTATGATACATGTCTTTTCCACTGGTGTGGAAAATATCCCATGGCCCAAGTTTCACAGGACAATGAGTGGAAAGCATGGAGCGCTGGCTTCTAGGGCTCTTCTGCACAGCTCAGTGGGTGCTGAGGTTCCAGTTCATTTGTTTAAAAGCTTTGACTCCCCAAGAAGGCAACTTTTTGCAGCTCAGGGACTCTGGCATAATTCAAATTTGTACCCGGAAGTCAGAAATATGTTCTTTGACCAGACTCATTCCTGTTTACTCTAATTTGTGACACTTACTCCCAGTACTACACCCACCTCTTCTTGTAAGATCTCATAACAAGCCTTCACGACTCACGCGCAGAAGAAAATACCATCCAATTTGGTTCTGTACCACCATTTGACTAAACTGTGTGGGATTTCCTGCCTTCTCCTCTTCCTCCTCCAATTCCTTTCCTCCCTCCAAATCTCTTATTATTCTTCAATATTGCACAAATCGGCCTTCACTTTCACCTCTACAGCTTTGAAGCACAGTTATTGTTGTATTTGGGAAGACAGAAGACTTGGAAATAAGCTTTATTTCCTCTATAACCAATGCAAAAACCCACTGAGATTCCTTAAGCATGATCCCTTTATTATGTAACAGACATTGAGTTAGGCAAAATCATAGCTGATGTGATCAGGTCAAAAATAACATATAAAATAATGTAATGGGCTAGTTGCAACTATTGACTTCAACTACATAAGGCTATCGAGTCTAGATGATACCATTCAAGATGTAGATGCTTACGGAACGAGAAACTAAGACTTTGAGAAACAAAAGCTATTACAAAACACATCATTCACTTTTTTGTTTGCCCCTTCCCCCCTCATTCTATTATACAATTTGTATACTCACTCGTTTCCGATGAGGACTAATTTCTAGCTTCATCACCGCACATTTGTTTAAAGTATTTAGACGCCTATAGAGCAAAGAAATAACGTTAGCAAAGATAGGCAACCACTCTCTACTAAGTGGATAAACACCTATTTTTAAACAATTCATATATCTAAGGAGTTTCTTGGAACTCAGTAAAATCTAACACCTAGAGGAGTATTAGAAACTTCTTTAAAAAGTGAGTGATTTAAAAATACCTTGGCCAGGCGTGGTGGCTCAGCCTTGGGAGGCTGAGGTGCGTGGATCACGAGGTCAGGAGATTGAG